AAATTTTATAATAAGTTAATTCTAGTCGATGTTTATAATAGGTATCGACAAACTCGCAACTCCAATAAGGGAAAATAAGACCGTACTGTAAAAAGACACATGACCTGCCATCTTGCAACAATTCACAACTTCATTTACTCATTCTACATGTCTTTTTAAATACAACGAAGTCGTACAATTGTCGCAACATTGAAGTCCCGCATTATAAAACGCGATATTTTTAAAAATACCAACAAACACATGAAAGATTGAACAATCGTAGAATTAAATTATTAAATGCTTTCCATATTTCCTTTCCTTTTATCATTTTCATCTTTTGTTCTTCTTTTTACCTTGATCCTTCTTTTTCAATTACCAATGACATCAAACGCACATTTCTTTTCAATGAATAGGCATAATCCTTCCAGTTTAAATGTCGATATTGTTCGAATGAAATTTCGCCAACGAGTGCGTGCGTCACGCGATGCAAAAAGTAGTAAAAACGCAGAAATATTTGGAACAAAAGGATTTCCCTCGTTTCAGCGCGAATCGGGCGTATCGTTTGAACAACTTTCGCTGGCCGCCCCTCTTTCATTCCTTTTCGTTCGTTCGTAAAGCTTCTTCGTAGAGCGGAACGGGTAACTTAATTTACCGACGGATTCAACGAACAGTGAGATATCGGGCTAAGAGGGAATAATTAAATGGAAAGCAGCCACTCGACGAATGGAAATACCTTTCAAGGAATGGGTATCGCCGTCAGGGAGACGCGTACGCCCACTTGTCCTGCCGCTCTTGATTACTCTTCGTTATCTTTGCACAGAGATCTGGAATCGAGGTCTGACCCGTGCTTAGACTCGCTCTTCAGGCCTCAGACGGAACTCGATGAGCGTACCGCGAGTATTTGTCGAGCGTTTTGCCTAACGTGTCGTTCTTCTCTAATGGTCGACGTTCTTCGTTTGCTCTGTGACAGAGTAGATCTTTCCAACAAGCAGGATGATCTCGAGGATGATTATCGTCCCGGATAGAACAAAGTGAAGGTATCGAGAATATTTCGGGTTTGCTAATGACACAGGCACGTTAAAAGAGGGCATGTTAATAACGATTCCCACGAATGGTACTCACGAAACCGTAATTCAGCCTGCGACGGCGAAATACTCTCACTATAGTGGCTGGTACAAGCGAGGTTGCGGAGATAAGTGCAGGTCTTTGTACACTAAATTACATCTCGGCGTAAGAGTCTCAAACCTATGGTTACTCGCTGCAGCAATTTTAAAGAAGGAACATTCGTTGCAACGCGACGCTTGTTCGGGATTGTCGCTTGTGAATATTGCAATGTTGGAAAGAACGCGAACGCGGGGAATTTAATTATGTTCTATCGATGCTTTGAAGTCTGTGTACGGTGGCGGAGACAAGAAGTTGGAAATTTAAAATTGATATCTTACAAGTACGCTACCATCTCCATAAGCATATGTTGCATGCACTCTTTAAAAAAGAAAAACCATAGAAAATCATGTGCAGTGTTAATTATGTATACAGAAATAGAAGTGTGTCAGCTATAAATTAATATATATATATATAATATATTAATATTATATATTAATATATATTAATAATATATATAGGACCTATAAAGGACAGATCATTTGTTCAATTATTGCAAGAACTGAGGGACATATTCGTGAGACACGAGTAAGACTCTTCTATTATAAAAGTTGAATATGTAACAGAAATATGAATCATTTAGTAGAATTACACCAACTGTCCCAATACATATGGATGATAAATAAAATTATACAATTATTATGTATTCCTCATTTAATATATTCCTCATTTCTTCAGTCAATTATAAGTATTCGACTCTCTAAAAATTTACAGCGTTTTTTCCCAGTATTATTCTAACAATAAGTTTGCTCCATTTAACCATCACTGCGTCATGTCAAAGGATCTAATCTCTGCTTAAATTCATCGTCTTTCTCTGTTAATTCTCTGGTAGGGATTTAAGCATCATTTATATGACGTCTGTGGTACAAGTCTCTAGTAAGCATATGATAATATTAAGCTATCGAGGAGCCGCGATAGAGTCGATAAACATCTCGAGACGAGTTCCCGCCGTCGATGGACTAATTAAGGACTCATTAAGCTGGCCATTGTTCGGAATACGTAGGGAGGAAAACGGCTCGAATTTTCAATGACGCCTGTCAGCATCATCGACGCCATTCAAGAACGATACCTCTTGAAACCGCGGGGACTTTAGCTGTTTGCTGCAAGCTGCTGAGTAGGTAGTGCCCACCCCAGAACGTGCGCGCCGGAACACACGAGTCTCGTTTCACTGACAGCGTAGTATCACGGAAACTCCATGCACGTACCATGGAGCGTCGCGACGAGAGAAATTACGGGGCTGCATTACGCGACGCCAAGTCTACCGCAAGTACAGCAATTAGTCGTAGCCATGAGCGTTTGAATTTCTCCGTTGATTTCTTTACCACCTTCGCTCTGATTTCGCCGCTTTGTGCGGTGTTCCTACGGTTTACGCTGCCGGGAATGCAGCCGAGCTTTCACTATTGTCATCACTACGCATTTTTATTATTTATTGGTAATTATTGATCATCAAGAAAAAAGAAAGAAAGGAACGAACGGTTGTCAGTTCGAACGGAATTATAAAGTTAAACCTACGGGCAAGAAATTGAAAAATATAAATTTGAAGTGAATATTTAAGAAATAACACTTATACTTATTGGTTTCATTGAGAAATCATATAATACGTGTTTTATGCATCAGGTGATCACATAAATACTTATACAATTCGTAACTTTGTTTATGTTTCTATACTTGTACGTCGCAAGAGCTGTGTGCGAGCTTGGTATCAAAAGTGTATCGTTCATCAACGAAAATGAAAACTCTCAGCAATCGAAGATTCGGGGGGAGGGGGACGCGCGGAAAGCGTGCTGCGTTATAAATTAGGATTTCCAGCTGGAAGGGAGCCGCAAGCTTTCACTGCGCGATAATTAAACTCGGCCGGTGTGCATCGAGAATTCGACGGCTCGTTGCACGACTCGTTGAATCCATTGTATTTCCTCCCGCGCAAGGCATTTCTGCCAGCTGGCCAAGTAACGCGGGGCGCAGCCGTTTAGAAATTCGGAGTCAACCGTGAAAACGTTTCACGGCAATATCGGCGACTGAATATCAACGATCGCTATTAATCTTTCACGATCGCTTGCGCTCGGGGATCTCAACGTTGCTACGCGGACGAAATATCCATGGCTACAAAAACTCGCTGGCTGAACGCGCGTGTGTACACTGGAATACGATAATCCTACACGTAGCCTCGATCATTTTTTATTTACATTTTCCTCTATTTATCTACATTTCCGGATTGTTTGTGTACATTCCCAGAGGCTTTTTTCACATTTGTTGTTTGCGCGAAATTCCGAGAACTTTCTCTCTCTTTTTTTTTTTACACGTCGTAGTACGTTTCCAAAAGTCAAGGAAAAAAGAATTCAAATGGAAAGTCGCGCAGCTTTTTTTATTTCGTTCGGTTTTCACTTGACGCGAAGACGTCGTTCTATTTTCTTAGTGTTTTTTACGCGTAAAACGAGAAAACCAAGTATACAAAGAGATGAAGCCCCTTGAAGTGTTTACTCCTTGGATAAAATTAAAGAGGAGAGAGGGGGAAGTGTCGGGAAGAATTCGCGCAACGCGATGTAGTTCTCGCCTCCTCGACAGACATAACCACAAGGAAGGAGTAAAAATTTTGATTAAGCCACGAAAAGTTTCCACGTGGAGCGCGAAAATTATCAAATTACGTGCGGAGAATTTATATAACGAGGATAAAATTGGCGGCCTGGATGCGAGTGTCATCCTGTGGCCACCATAATCTGCCGTGTTTGTAGATGCCGATGTAACTCCGATATTGGCGTGGTAAATCGCTTCGTTCCTTGGCGAGGAATCCGGTCACCAAGTCGTCCAGTGAACGATACGATCAAGGAAATAATAGTACGATGATAAAGTAACGAAACTCGTGCGGCGTCGATCGTATTTTAAACTGGTTATAAACTATTCGCGATCCACCGTTTCTCGCAGTTTCGAGAATCGCAATTTTTCCTTCGTACGCTTAAGACATCCTTGCTACATAAAACCGAAGGTTTTTCCGTACTTTCGTTGCCAGTTTCTTGCCAGTCTTTGCTATGGAAATTTTTCATTGGCGGATGTCTGCCACCATGCATCTTCGCGCGCGTCCTTTTTCCTTCTCTTTCTATATTTTACTCAGCAATCCTTCCGTCAGCGCACCTGGTCCCCCTTTTTTGCTCCTTGGCACGTGGTCGTTCTTACTTTTTTGTTTTCCATCATTTTGCTATTTTAGGAGTGGTCCTTTCCTTCAACTTTGTCTGCGCGCTTCGATGGAGAAGAGGGTAGTAGTTTTAAATTTCTTCTTGAAATCTAAATACTGT